ATCCCCACCCCACCCCCCGGCCGCCTTGCTTTCCTCAGACGGAGAAGGTGAAGCGTTTCCCTGGGCTGTGGCGTGGCTGGAAGTGGGCTCTGGGGCTTTCTGGAGGGGTTTGTTGTGCCGTGGGGCTGTTGGTAAGCGGTAGTTCCCCGGGATTTGCATAAGAGCCAGGGAAAGGTCTGTGAAGTTGGTGAATTGCCATTGTTTGGGGCTCGTCCTCCTGGCTGTTTTTGTTGATAAACACGAGGGCGGTTGCCGGGAGGGGAGGGAGGTCAAAGCACTGTCAAAGCGCTGACCTCTAAGAGCCCAGAGGGCGCCCGGCTCCTTCACCCACCTCGTTCGCCTGGCGTGCGTGTGTCGGAGGGAGTGCGTGCGTGTGCGCGCGTGTTGCCCTTTCCCATCCAAGCCAAGAAGCTCAGGTTCAGGGTATTTAAAGCCCACGATCTCCTCAAGGAAGCAGCTGAGGATGGACGGTTTGTTTAAGGCTCCGGGAGGAAACGGCCGCAATAGGAGCTTTTCATTCTAGTAGCGCCGGGGCACGAGCCTGTGTGTGTTTGTGTGTGTGTGTGTGGCTGAAAGCAAGTAGCTGCAGCAGCAGCACCACCACACATACAAAAAGGCCAGCCAGGAACCTGGATGCTTGGCCTGGTCAGATTTTTTTCCCAAACCACCCCCCTCCCCCCGAGCATCTTGGTTTCCATACTGTGTTGGGGTGAGGACTGGACAGTTATTAAAGGTAGCTCGTTACGGTTTAAAAACCAAACAGGGCTGTCATCTCCGCTAATCTGAGTAGAGATTTTTTTTTTCCGGGTGGCATTTTCAGATAATGATATTGACAATCCACGCGGTTTTGCTGAAGTGTCAACTCGTCCCCCTCTCCAAAAGGTCCGGAAGATTGTTCTCAGGGTTTGTGTGTGTGTGTGTGTGTTTTAAGTGTGTTTTGAAACGAAGTTGCTGAGTTAAACAAAAATGTTAGTTAACATACTGCCTTTGTCAAATAGCCCCCGGGAGGAGAAGAGACAACAAAAAGGCAGAGGAAGGAGGGGGTCTCAGGATCTGAAAGTGTCTGTGGCTCAGATAAAGGGGTCTCTAACACTGAGATCTTGTAATACCTCGTTTCAAACTGAGCTCATCTATAGACTTAGGGAACGCTTTCAAAAGGCACGGATCCAAAACCTTGGGCTGGGGGGGGAGGGGGAGGCGGGCCATTTATTAGGGAATTATGTCGGGTTATTAAAAAGAGGGGAGGTTGTAATTATGTATATCCTCCTCCTGGCCCTGTGCGTCCGCTGCGCTGGTTTGGGCGAAGGCAATACAACGCGGTGCAAAAGTCTCCCAGCTGGCTTGGCAGGGTCTTTGTCTGGGAGAGAGAGCGGCCAGGGCTTGCTCTTAACCCCTTGCTCAGGCGGTCCAGTAAGTTGTTTCAGCTCAGGGGCGTGGGGGCGGCAGCTGAGGCCGGACAGTCTGATTCCCCCCCCCCGGTGAAACATAACGTCATTAACCCGGTCTGTTCTCGTGTCTGTGAGTGCGCGCGCGCGGGGCTTGTACGATGAAATTTCTTTCTCTTGCCCCCTGGGGGAGGGAGACCCCCCCCCAGTATCTGCGTGGGTAGCCTTGAGGAGAAGAAGTTTGCCTGGGAGGGGTGCCCTAGGGACCAGCGGAAAGGAGCGGAGAGGTTAAGCAGAGGTCTTGGGGCGATCAGCTGAGCAAGCGAGAGGAGAGAGCCAGGAAGGGAGGGGAAGCCGGCTTGCAACCCTGGCCGAGCTTCTGGGGGAACCCTCTTGAAAGAGAGAGCCAGCCAGCCAGCCCTCGGGGGCTCCTGGCTGCTGCTTGCTTCCCTTCCTAGAGCCGCACTCCACTCTTATCACCTCCCCCCCCCCAACCTGCTGCTGCCGCCTCTCGGAATTAACCTCCTTCGATTTTTTCTTAGCTACGTGGCGATCCCCGGGTTTCTTCTAAACTGTTAACATCCCGGAGTGCCTTTTCCATCCCAATAGCTACTATTTTAGGAAAAGCTGGGATGGGAGAAAAAGAAAGATGAAAGGAAGGTGCGGGTGAATGTGGGGAGCGAAATAGAAACGGTAGGAAGAAAAAAAGCAGTGGTGGAAGAAACCTGGAAAAGTGGACTCGCCCTCTTTGTTCCCTTAGCTGTAAAGAATCACTGTTAAAAAGAAACTACATCCCTTCTAAGAAAAGGGAGAGAGAGAAAATGTGCATAAAATTGCTTATGGCATGATCTGATCTTCGAAGTTTCTAGTAATCTTGATCTGGAAAACTGTAGATATCTATAAAGGGAGGATTTTTGCAACATCCTGTCTTTGCTTACTCCTGCTGCCTAAATGTATTGGCTGCTTCGCTTGCATTTGAACTAGAAGCATTGTTCTTCTCAGGTGTTTCTTCATCAGACTGGATTTAATTGTCCCCTGGGTTAGGAAATGGACTGCCATCCTTCAGACATGTCCTCGACTGGCCAATGTATCTTGCTAGTTTAGACTCTCTTTCCTGCTACAATAAGAGCCAAATGGACCATTTTCTGTCTAACCCCCCACCCCACCCCATTTTAGTGAAAAGCAGGGTTTAGGGAGACTTAAAGGACATTCCTAAAAACACTTTCCTGGGAGTAAGCCCCATGGAATAGACCCAAGTAGGATTCTGAGTAGATGTTTTGGATTGCTCTCTTAATTTTTGCCATTGTTAGTATCTTTGGTTCTTCTCTGTAAAACAATCATGCATACACTCCCATTTCTTTTGAAACTCTACTTTCTGATTTGCACACAATACATTTACATGCAGTTTCTGTAGTAGGTCATTGATGAGTAGATCTAATTACTCAGGTTACTCCCTTGAAACCCTAGTGTGCCATATCTTTAACATTAAATGTTAGGTTCAGAGATTTCATTGAAGTTTGCTAGATGTGGTTACTTTCCTCTAAGTCCCTATGAAGTTACTCTGTCTTTCGGATGGCCATGGAGTACTGGACTTCGATGTGGACATTATTTTTAACAATCAATTTTCTCTTTCCAAATATGAGGTACCTTCACCATGACCTTAAAACATCTGTTTTCAGCAGGGTGCTTCACTGTCTCTGGCCTGTGCCTCCTCTTTCCCGTCAATGCGTTCATTCCTCCTCAAGTTCAGATTTGCCTGTTAGCATTAACTCTAAGATTTGCCCCCAAAAGATACATATTTATATGCCTGAAAAGATGCATATTTATACCTTGTTTTTATGGGGGATTGTGTTAAACCTTTCTGTTGGTATTTAATGCTTAAGGCCTAATACAAGGTTTTGACGTGTATCCCAGGAATCAGAAACTTCAAAGGCATGTCAGCTGGAAGGTTATGGTTCACCTGTGCAAAGTCTTTGGGATTGTAAATATCCTTTATATTTAACTCTTGCTTTTGTGGTCTTTTGATTTCTATAATCATAGTAATGTGAAGGGAGAGAGAGAGAAAGGTGTCCCTGCCGTGTGTTTGGATGCTCTTTGAATAGACATGATTTTTAATCTTCACTAGGGGGTATTTCAAAGTATCTCTGTTCCTAGTTTTAGTTAATTATATTTTAATGAAAGTGTCACTCATATTCACATCACATCTGTAGTATTAGGTTAAGATAATTAGATTTTCAAATGAGAAGTGATTGCTTTCCGTCCTTTGCATGAGAAGATTTGTAGGAGATTCTATGTATAATGGTATCTGTTCATTATTGCCTATAGCCCAATGCCACCCTTTCTTTTCATATCAAGCATATCTCTGGTAAACCCAAGGACAAATATATCCCCTCTTTTTCTCCTTCCAAGGGGAAAAGGGGGTAGTTACACTGGGGATATCCTCCTCTTTGTAAATCTGTTTACTGTTGCTATTAAATGCTAAAAATACTGTTTGCTAATATAAACTTACTTCTGTAGAGCAGTTCTAACAGTTACACCAGGGAGATTAACCTGCCATGTGTGTATGTAATAATGCATATTTCATATGTGCGTATATATGAGCTATAGATACATATATAATGTCCCTGTGTTCACAATATGTATGTGTGTGTAAATAAATCCTCAATAATATGCAAATGATTCTCTGGCTATAAGAGCAAAAATTTCTGATCTCAGACTTATTCCCTTTCCATACAGAGGCACATTCCACATTCATTATCCCAGGCATATTTTCTTCCTTTAAAAAAAAAAAGAAAGAAAGAAAAGAAAGGGGGGGGGGAGAAAGAAAGAACTTCCCTGGTGGGAGGAATAATTAATTTGCACCCATATCTTTTCACATTCCTGAGCAGTTAAGAACAGCAAATCTTCTTTCCTTCCTCTCTGCCTCTTCTCTTCCTCTCTCTCCCTCTCTTTAATTTTCCCCAGCCATCTACTTTGTGTGTCTGTGTGTGTGTGTCTGTGTTACTAATGAAGTTTGCAGACTTGTGTTTGTGTCCATGAGCTGCTTCCCTACTGCCCGTCCTGCTTTGGGGCCAGCGGTGTGGCTCCCGCAGCCCCTACGAGCCCCCAGCAGCAGCGGCAGTAAGTCCGGACTGCGCGTCATTTGCAGTCTGGAGAATGTTGATCACCTCACTAATTACACCTCTCTCTCTCTCTCTCTCTTCTCTCCCCCCCCCCGCTCGCTCGCTCGCTCTCTCTCTCTCATTCCCAGAGTGCATATCGGGAATAGACACACAAAGACATGCGCACTCAACTTAATCAGCCATTTTTTTAAACAGGGCTAAAACGATAATAATTAGCAGAATAAAGACATATCGGATTTTCATTTCCTTTCCTCCTTTTCCCAACCCCTTCACAACCGAACAGCGAGACCGCGGTCGCCACATGCTTTAACAACTCCCGGACCCCAAAGGACCGCTCCATGCTCCCCACTTCTTGCTCAATCATTTTTATTTTTACCCAATAAAGTTGGCGGATTATTTTTTTTTATTTTTTTAATGAACCTTCTGTCGTTTACTTGGATGTGATCAGCTGTTAAGTAAATAAAGCAAAACAAAACAGAGAGGCGAAGATCCAGTAAGAACTGCGAGGGGAAATGGAAAGTAAGTTTTTTCTTTAACTTTTATTGAGTAGTTTGTGTTAAATTTAGGTCGAGTATCGATTATCTTTCCAGGCTGATCTTGCACAATCTTTGATATTTCGCTCTCGCTCTCCCTCTCTGCCTGCCTCTTTCTCTCTCGCTCTCTCTCTCTGGCACACATACACACACTCCCATCCCCAGATCCTCTCTGTCTCTCCTTTTCTCACCCCCCTTTTCTGCCTCTTTCCCCATTTTTAGGTACTGCTTTATGGGAGTGGGGGTGCTACTTTCCCCCCCTTCTCTTTTAAATTCTGGAAAGGTGTGTGTGTGGGGGGGTGTTCCTCCCCCCCTCCCACCAGGCTCTAACTTTTGGATTAAGTGGAGGATCTGAAACGTTTAGCAGAAGAGATTCTTTTTGGTGATTTTTGTGGGTTTTTTTGTGTTTTTTTTTTTAAAGAATGGAGCTGGGGAAATGGTCTTATTTGGAACCGTGGCACGCTGTCAAAAGTCCTTGCCTCTCCGTTGCCCCCCCCCCCCCCGTAACCCTGGATTCCGGAGCGTGGTGCCTCTGGGGAAAGTTTGGGGGTGCCTTTGGGGGTCAGCGACTCGGCTTCGGCTTCGGCTGCGCGGGGTTCGAGTGCCTCCGGGTGTGTGTGTGTGTGTGCGCGCGAGCGTGTGTGTGTGTCGGCGGCGGCGGCGCGGCCGGGGAGAGAGGTGGGGGTGCCGGCCGTGTTTTGCAGCAGCCGGGCAGGGCGAGTGCCGCGGCTGGCGGCGGGAAGAGAGGAGCCCGTTAGCGGAGCGTGGGCTGCTGCCTTTCCTTGGGCGTCAGCCCCCGGAGCGCTGCGCCCTGCCCCGAGAGCCCGGCTGGCCGCCGCCTCGCCCGAGGGATGAACCACTGCGGCCCCGCTGCTAGCCGGGCTGCGGAAGCCTCGACCGCCGCTTCCCTTTGTGGCGAAGGCAGCCGCGGGCTCCCCCCGTCTCCGTGCCCCTTCTGCGGGCTCCGGCATCGTTCGAGGCGGACCGGGGCCAAGATTCTCGGCTCTGTTTTTTAAAAAGCAATTATCTCCCCCCCCC